CCCGCCCACACTTCGACACTACGACGCACACACGACGGATTCGATTTAAGGGATCCGACCACACTGCGACGGTAGGACGCACACACGACAGATTCGATTTAAGGGATCCGACCACACTGCGACAGTACGACGCACACAAATGACGGATTCGATTTAAGGTATCCGACCACACTGCGACAATACGACACACACACGACAGATTCGATTTAAGGGATCCGACCACACTGCGACAGTACGACGCACACACATGACGGATTCGATTTAAGGGATCCGACCACACTGCGACAGTACGACGCACACACGACAGATTTGATTTAAGGGATCCGACCACACTGCGACGGTACGACACACACACGACGGATTCGATTTAAGGGATCCGACCACACTGCGACGCACACACGACGGATTCGATTTAAGGGATCCGACCACACTGCGACAGTACGACGCACACACGACGGATTCGATTTAAGGGATCTGACCACACTGCGACAGTACGACGCACACACATGATGGATTTGATTTAAGAGATCCGATCGCGCCATTCTCATGGACTCGCAAGAAACATTGTTTTCACATCTCGCAACCGAAAACTTCAACGAGCGCGAGCCGCAGGAGGCAGGAGCGGCGGCTGCGCTCGGAAAACGGCGTTCGGTGAAGGTTTTTTGGGACACGATAGGGACGGCGCGCCGTTCCCAGCAGACCTCAGAGGCTCCCTGACTTCAGGCGTGTATATTTACGCAGCGAGAACAAAGGCCTTATAATCTATACATAGCGCACAACAATGAGCGTGGAGAAAGGAACCGCCGGAACCAGCGCCGGCGAATTTTCTAATTCTGCTAATTTCAGTTCCAGCACAATTAAAGTCTGTGCTGATAATGCTCAGAAACAATCAGCGGCTAACAAATCGCTTCTCTCCTCTTGTAAATGTAACGTCGTTAAGCTAATTCCTTCGTTCACGCCTGCACGGCTTCTGGGTGTCTGATAAAATTAACCCCTCGCTGCTCCGGTCACATGATCGGAAAGGATTCAGATGACTTCCCGCGAAAATCTAACCGTGGCGAGCCACACAGGGAAGCGAGGAAAGAAAAACATGTGAGCCCTCCGGAATGAACTGACGCTACAATGTTAATCGAGGACGGACACTTTAACATTCACGTTGGCATTTACGGCTCACTCAACTCTTAAGCACCGTTATGGTCCCACCACCATGTTTCACAGTTAGGCTGATGATCTGGCAAGCAGCTCTTTCTCTTAAACATACAGTCACTCGCTCACCAAGAAGCCCAACGTCTGTTTTATTTAGCCGATTGAGAGTTTTCCAACCGTGTTGTAGACAATCTGGGTGGCCTTCGGCAAGTCTCAGAGAGCCGGAAAGGTTTATTTTGTAGAAAAGGGGGAATCCTCAGTGATGGCTTCCTATGAGAAATGCGATTGGTCGGGGCTGTTCTTGTTGTGCATTCAACAACGAAGACGTTAGGAAGAGAGATCAGTGAAATTGGGAGCTTTTACTTCGCCAAAAGTTCTCTGAAAGTTTGGATGATGTCATCGTTCGGCAAAATGCAGTAGGGTCCATAAGAAGAAGGAATAACTAAGGTGGAAAAAGGTTAAAAAGCACCCCTCTGGGTTACAGAAGCTCCTCCCACCTTTGCTGGACCTGGGGTTGTGACCATTTAAGTCTCTGCCACTCTCACAATGGTGAGATTTCCCCCTATTAGTTTGTGTCTGTGCCCCTCCCACAATGGTGAGATTCCCTCCAGTAGTTTGTGTCTTTGCCCCTCCCACAATGGTGAGATTCCCCCTAGTAGTTTGTGTATCTGCCCCTCCCACAATGGTGAGATTTCCCCACAGTAGTTTGTGTCTCTGCCCCTCCCACAATGGTGAGATTTCCCCCCAGTAGTTTGTCTCTGCCCCTCCCACAATGGTGAGATTTACCCCCCCCCCATTAATCCCGCTTTTGAATGTCTGATCCTGTATCGTCATCTGTACAGATTTAGACGATTCGGCAGATTGGAGGATCAGAAGGTCGGGAGGTGTAATTATCGGAATGATTAGGAAGAGTTCACCGTGCACACAAACGCCGAATTCTGCCACAAAGAATGAACCTTTCGCCATCGGCCGAGTGGCGGCGGATCCCATTAACGCCCCATTTTTATTCCCAGTCACCGCTGCGCTCGCAGTAGGACGCGGCTCCCACGTATCCCGGCCGGACCCTCGGAGCAGCGGACGGGTTAATGAACAATTTGACAAAAGCAACATTTTCACACCCCGCCTGGATTCCGCCGCGGGAAGAGCGCGCATGAAAACTGCCCTCGCAGGCTAATGGAAGCGCCCCGGTTAAGGAACAAAGGATCTTTTCAGCTAACTTTAAATTCTCCGTCTGATAAGAATCTGAGATCAAACGCCGGCCGCTCAGCCTGAGATCAATGCAACGAAATTCGTCTTCTGGCTGACTGAAAAAAAAAAATTAAAAGATTTAAAAAGGAAACATGGTGATTTGTGACCCAAATATAAGCAATGGCATCGCTAGCCTGAAGAGCTGACAATCTGACACCTCAGCGGAACGGACTGACTGGAGGCAGGGAAAAAAAAATATTAAATATCTGAAACCGCAACACACAACCAATAAGAATGGGCCGTCTATCCCGGAGATCTGCAAACCTCATATCGTATGCAGACCACCCTAGGTAACGCCCACGTGTGATGCTGCACCTCTGTGATTGGCAGAATAGAATCCAATGAATGAAAGGGGTGAAAGTCAGCCTAGGGAGGAAAGTGCTAGATGATGCTGGTTGTCCACCAGCCAGGAAATGAGGCGGGCTCTCTCTCACTTGCTGCAGCTTCTAATGCACATTGTGAGAAGCTCCCAGTGTGCAGTGATATCAGAGGAAGAGGAGAGGAGCCGGTACAACTGTGCAAGACTGAGGGGAAGGCCGGAGGTCAGACAGAAGACTGAAGGGGAGGACCGAGGTCAGATTTGAGACTGAAGGGAAGGACGGAAGTCAGATAGAAGACTGAAGGGGAGGACGGAGGTCAGATAGAAGACTGAAGGGGAGGACGGAGGTCAAATAGAAGACTGAAGGGGAGGACGGAGGTCAGATAGAAGACTGAAGGGAAGGACGGAGGTCAGATAGAAGACTGAAGGGGAGGACGGAGGTCAGATAGAAGACTGAAGGGGAGGACGGAGGTCAGATAGAAGACTGAAGACTAGAGAAGGACGGAGGTCAGATAGAAGACTGAAGGGAAGGACGGAGGTCAGATATCGGATGGCATATATATATCAGCCGGCAAAGCACCCGAGTTACACGGCACCACAACATACATGCCATGCATTGTGCTGGACTCCATTCCATTGCGGCGTGTTGGCGGCCATACAGTAACTCGGCCGGAACCAATCAGAAACATGTAAGGGGAACTCATCGGATAAGAATGGTCGGTCAGAATTATCAGAATTAATTTCGGGATAAATACGTCAAAAATATAAAATAAGTTTAAAGAAACTACAAGAAATTCGGAGAACACAAATATCGGCTTCTTCCCCACCGAATGACACTGCAGACATGGCAGCTGGCGGAGTGGAGCGCCTGGGCCGAGCGGCGG